ATAGTTGCAAGGCTTGTGGTAGGTTCCTTTCTTCGAACAAAATCTATCTCCATAGGATCATTCAATGTCTCCTCTTCTCCATCTGAATCAGGTATTTCTGGGACTGGTTCTCTATAATTATTATTGCGAAGCAATGACCCTTCGGGTCTATCCTGAATAGATGGTAGCTTACTGAAATTGGGTTTAAGACTTTGTAACAAATATGGAGGTAATAGTTCTTTTAATATATCCATAACAATTTCACGAATTTCTTCTGAAGAGGTCTGCTTTGATTTGCGATATTTGGGTGAGTTAGAAACTCGAGATTTCAATCCCTCTTTCTTAGACTTAAATTTCTTGGAAATCTGCTTCTGGTTTACTTTTTTTTTGACTTAGTAATATTAACTTGCATACTCTCAGTTTCAGAGGAGGTATTATCAGAGTCAGATTCAGAATCAGAATCATTATTGGAAGAGCTATAATCAGAACCTGAATCGGAACTAGAATCATTGATAGCCATATTAATCTTACCTTTTTTCTTGGATCTGCTTTTCTTTTTATTTTTCTTTCGAGAACAACTACGAGAATTATGTTCTATCCTACCGCAATTTGAGCAATATCGCTGAGATTTTTTAACAGTTTTAGCAACAACATTAATGTTTTTAGCCATTTTTGCCATATTCAATGACATGTCTGCCATACCTTTGGTAATTTCATCAACGTCATTGGTATTTGGTGTAATGTTCTTTTTTATTTGTGGTTTTGGAGGTAAACAAGGGGCCTGTACGGGGACAAATTCTGGTGTGTTACCATAAAGCCATAGTAATAATCTATTAACATTTTCTTCATAAATTTTTTCAGATGTTCCTGCAGGTTGTGGTCGAAATTGTGAAGAAATGGGTTGTGAGGTAGGTTGTTGAGATTGTACCGGAATTTGTTGGGTCCGTAAGTCTAATTGAGATTTTACTACATTTTCTATGTCACTTATCGTTATTCTACTATTGTCCAAATGCAGGTCAGTTTTTGGTTTCGTTATTTCTTTTGGTGTAATTGTCAATTGGGATGTAATTGGTGAAACTTGAGGGGTTTGATCAGGAATGAAGCCTCTATACAAATTTGGAGGACGTTCTAACCACATATTTTTAAGTTCTGTAAAAAATGCATTAATGCCAAGAGGATTAGCAATTTT